ATTGGATTTGTTTGACAATTGCTCAATTTATTTGATCAAACAAATCCAATTCTTTATAAGTGTTACGAGTCCCAGGAAATAATTAACTGGAAATTTTGGAGAATCTTTTGTCATAGAATGAAGCTTAAATGCACTTAATAAACTATTTGGGTATTTATAGGTAAATTGGCACTCTTTTATTCATTTTTATTAAATCTATCTTTTTGGTCTTTAAGATCACTGTCACTGAAGTGTGTTAATTAAAATTTCTGTAGTATATTATACCATCAAAAGTAATTTTAAAGCTCTCACCATTTTATTTGAGTATCACTCAGCATAATACGACTGGAGACATAGCTAGCGGTTGTATATATCATTTCGATGGGTGTACCCACCTGAGTTTGCGATATTGGCTCTAATATTGTTGAGTCCTTTGCAAGTCCATGGCTATAGTGAAATTAAGTTGTGTGTCTAATAAACGTTTTGACATGTCCTATTGAGAGATTAGGTGACTTCCACCCATATGCACAAGTAAACACTATTCTATTTAAAATTTGAAAACTTTGTTTCTTTCAGAAGTTACAAAATTCAACTTTCAGTACCACATTTGGATTCCTCTTTACAAATTGAATAGAAAATGTCTTATGCTCAGAGACGATGAGAGTCGAATCACCCGATTTTTCCAGGGGAAATGAAAAATTTGAATTTTTAGAAGCAACGAGAATCAAGGGAATTACCGAGAATCATCGGGAATCATCGGGAATCAAGGGGAATCAGCGAAAAACACAGGGAATCGCCGGGAATCACCGGGAATCAACGGGAATGCGAGGAATCAACGGGAATCACGGGAATCAACGGGAATCACCAGGAATCACGGGAATCAACGGGAATCACCAGGAATCACGGGAATCAACGGGAATCACCAGGAATCACGGGAATCAACGGGAATCAGTTCTTTCGGGAATCATGTGTACACTTAAAATGGGAGTTATTGCCCCCTCGGTCTTCGCTTATCGCTTAGCCAATAAAAGTCGTGCGCCAAGTAAAGTTGCGACTGTGCTTGGTTAAGATTGGCAGGGAACAGTACGACTATGAACAAACCTAGCCATGCCACCATGGAAACACACCAGAACGCACGGTATTTACCTGTAGAGTACTTATGAGCGGCACCGAGAAGCAGCAGAGCATATAATGCATTATGCTATCGGAGAAGAGCACCTCTACCTGCCTGCTGACCACTAGCAGGTCCTGATGAAGTCTCACTACGCGCAGAACGTCTGTTCTCTTTGTGGTTTCCTTAAAAATTTTAAGACAAGTTCATTCAAAACTGTTGACCTGTAAACTCCCTTATATTCTTAGGAAATAAATGCATGGCAACGTTACAAACAACAAACTACACTAGGTATATGTACGCCTGACCACGTCACCAGGCTCCGCGTTCTCATAAAACACTGTTACGCTGCGACTCGCCTGGCGCACATACGGCTAGGCCTACAGCGCTGACACCTAAGACAAGATAGCAGGAGTGTTTACGGAAATAGGGCCTTTCGGCCCCCAAAATTGTCATGCTAACAGCATTTTTGGGGGACTTACTACTCCAAAATTAGGGGAATACTACTACTGTTCGATGAAGGTTTTCATCATAAGTTCGAATTTTGACAGATTGTTACATAAAATGAACATAATACTCCACTGCAAGAGCTTCATTTTGTTTGTTTGTCTGTTGGTCTGTATTTCCCAACATGAGGCCTTTTTTACAACTTAATAGGGTATTTCAATGAAGCCCTGCCCGGAACTAAGAAGCACAAAGGCGGATGCAGAGAGCGGTGGTGGGCGGGCGCGCAGGGGAGCGGCGGTCAGGAATAGATACGGAGCCACAAACCGAGCTGGAACAGGTCCCCCCCGATCGCGCGTCAGCCGAACCGAACCGGACGGCCGAGCCGAGTCCCCTCCGCCAGAGCGCGCCACGAGTGTCGGTTCCCGTCACCGCTCCCCGACATCGGTAGTCTGTAGTCGGTCCACGGAGTACAATGGTTATGGAGGAACGGCTTTCAGCGTCGCACGAGCTGCCGGGCGCGTGCCGAGTTGTTGTCTCGGCCGCCGGCCGCAGCCGAGCGCTGCGATCGCTGTGGCTCTGCCCCGGCCGGCTCTCCTACGGGGAGCAATGGGCGAGAAGCGGCGCGGCGCGCTTCCGTCGGCTCTAGCTTCTAAACTATTACAGATAGAGGGTGGGTCAAAGCGAGCCGATTGTAGCTTAAGGTTCAAGCTTTCCATCGCCGTTAATATTTTTCAATCCGACCCATACAGTCCGAACGCCGACCCGGCAAAGATTGCCTGGAGCGCCAGTCGGTGGCTCCGCGGTGTGCAGCGCGCCCGGCCCGGCCCGCCCGGCGCGCCTTCCGTCGGCTCTAGTGCCTAAACTAGGAGGGCGGGTCAAAGCGAGCCGATTGAAGCTAAAGGTTCAAGCTTTCCATCGCTGTTAATATTTTTCGATCCGACCTATACAGCTCGAACGCCGATCCGTCAAAGATTGCCGTGAGCGGCTCTGCTCGCCGCTCCGCCGCGCCTGATCTCGCGCAGCGGTGAAGCCACGCCCCTGGCCGGCGTTGCTTCCCTCGGGTCTAGCTCCTTAAACATTAAAGATAGGGGGTGGGTCAAAGCGGGCCGATTGCAGCTTTAAGTTCAAGCTTTCTATCGCTGCTCATATTTTTCCGATCCGACCCATTCAGCTCGAACGCCGGCCTGGATAAGATTGTTGCTTCGTGCGGGTGCGTTTGTAAGGCCGTCACTCACCTGCTATAGCAGACCTTTATGTCATATTATCGGTTTTCATGACTTTTCTACATTAAAGCGCCCTATTTAGCGTGTGAGTAGCACAGTGAAAATGCACCAGTGGCCAACAGCTATATTTGTTGATATATGATCTAAAAGTGCATTGCTCGCTGGTCTTTTTATAAGGGTGTTTCTGATAGTATATCCTTTGTTAGCTAGGAACCATTCATATTCCTCAGTCTCTTTTTCTTGCTCTGCTATATTAACATTAAAGTCACCAACTATTATGGTATTTGTATTTCCCAGTTTTTCAAGTATGCTTTCCAGTTCAGATATGCAGTTATATATTAGCTCTTTTTTCGGGTTATATACTACTATCACATTAAATATCACATTCTTCAGTTTAAGCATCATCACAATGTTTTGTACTTCTTTGTTGATTTGCATGATATGGAGGATTTTTATTCCATCTTTCACATAGATTGATACACCCCTCCTCTCTGATTGGTTCTGATAATGTGTTTGTCCTGGTACCCTTTGATCTTAAAGAACTTTTCCTCATCTTCTTGTAGCCAGGTCTCGCAAAGACATAATACTTCAATATGTTGATATTTATCGATCAAGGTTTTAATATAATCAAATTTTTCTCCATCATTTGCTTTGATACTTCTTAAGTTCGAAAATACACCATTTATGTTTTTATGACTAAAAGAAATTTTATTTTCATCTTATTGCTGGATTAGCTTTTCTTGAGTGTTGATGTTGTTATCCGAGAGGGTTACGGCTAATTTTGTCGAGGTCATGTTCGTTGGTTATTTGATGTTTGTGATTAGTTCCTTTCTTAGCTACAAGAATTTTTCCACTACTTACAGTCCACACTTGGTAATCCGTGTCCTTAGAAATTTACTCTTGTTTTCACAGCCAGTTACTTCTTCTCTGGTGTGAGATTGTTATTGATGTATATTGGTTGGCTCTCCCCCGCAAAGCCAATATGACTGGTTGAGGGTTTTTTCCCTTTCTTGCCTTCCATATATTCATCTCTCTTCCAAATGTTAACAAATTTCACTATTATTGGTCTATTATATTCCATACTTGCTTGGTAGTCTATGGGGCATGACATCAAAGTGTTTTTGATCGACATATACTCCTAAGTGGGCGCCTAGATCGGCTACCACTTCCATGAGATCTTCAGTTGGATTTTCTGGCACTCCATGAATTTCAAGGCAGTTTCTTCTATTGTAATATGACAGATTACTAATTCTCTTCTCGTGAGCATTAGTTACATGTTCTAGATCTATGATTGCTGATTCCGCCTTATTTTTCCAATATTCTATTTCTGAAATTTTGAGCTCGAGTGTGTCCACCTTGGTACCAAAGCTATCAATTTTCCCACCTAGTCCTTTGACTTCAAAGCTTCCACTAGGCTTTCGTGACTTCCCCCGTGGGCAACAGAGACGTGGTGGGTATAAATTGCATCTTGCATTCATACATTTTCCAATTTTCAATGTAATTTTTTTTTCCCACAGGAATGCTGTGTCACCAGTGGTTGACAGATCTTACAGATGTAGCTATTTTCTTCACAAATTTAACAAATTTAACAAAAACTTACATTGGAGGGTTGTTGCATTTGTGAGAACATGGCTGGACCAAACGCAGAGGTCATTCCACCTATTCCACCATTCATTGCTCCCATTCCCATCATCCCACCAATTCCCATGAACCCACCCATTCCCATAATCCCACCGTTCATGCGAGCCATAATTCCGTTCTGAATTCCCATCCCATTCATTACTCCCAACCCACTCATCCCACCTATTGCGTCAGAGCCTACTGCATTCATGCCATTCAGACCGTTAAACCCATTCATTCCACCAAACATTAACGGACTCATTTCTTGAGAGAAGGCCGTTGTCTGCTGGCCTGACATCTGGGTTGGTGGCTGCATCTGGCCACCTGCCATGTAGTTCCTCTGCCATTGAATGAGCCAATCTTCGTCCATGATACAATAAAAATAAATAATTA